GAACAGAAAAAAATGTTTTATTTAATATTTGCCGACGACAATATGATACGTAAAATTATACTATTGTTTCGAAATGTTTATGAATAACAATCCTCAAAGCAATATTGTCTCCCTATTTAAACGCCGTTGATTTGAAAAAAAAGCATAATTATCAACCAAACTTTCTTATGATCTAAGAACTGAATTTAAAGCTAACTGTAGACCCTAAAACGAATAAACATACAGGAATTGAGAAATATATTTTAACCACATTATGTGCTTTTCCACGTACGCCTGATACTCTCGTAAGTCCTCTCTTCAAATTTTGCATCATAATACAATCGAGAACTAGTGCTTATGTTGCCCTGACTTCTTTTCCTTATTACTGTCGTTAAAAGTCATTATGTCGATACAACTTGCGGTTTTACATGTTGAGGAGATCAGAAGCATGGGGTTGTTTTTAGAACAACTTTATTATCGAAATAATAAAAAAGGTAACCTCTTTTTGGTCAGGTTGATGTATAGTAGTATAGACATAAACCCTGATGACAAACCGTCAGAGATTGTTTCTCACGCTTTATGATTGGCTGTTGCTGAATGCATACATCTGTCTCTCCAAGTAAGAGAATAGAAAATTGAATAAATAAATAAAGAATACCGTAAAAAAAAGAGCTTACCAATGGGTTTTTACCCCTAACTTTTTCAATCATGCTATAAATACGAACAAAATCCTTCTTGCATGATCAGTCGGTTTTATTCTAACTGAATACTCTACATGGCCGCTTTATTCTGTCTTGAGCCTAGTGTTGATTATTGTGATGAAGATACTGACTTAGAAAAATCGAACGCGAACAGCAAAAAAGACTCTGAACAAGTGAAAACAATACTGAATCAATGTAAGTATATACTTCCACTACCATGAAAAGACACATTTGGTAATGTACTTATGAAATAGGTTATCATACTGCCCACGAATCAATCGAAGTAGTTCAAACATTCTGAGATATTCACACTCAGGGTTCAAATCATTTGAAAAGTTTTTCAACAACAAGTCTAAAACAAAACTATGATGAACGAACAAAAAGCTCTCTATCAGCCGTTTTTCAATTGGCTGTGCAGACTGCTATTGCCATAAGTGATCCTCTTGTCAAAGTCAGTCAGACAACTATCAATTGTCTCGAGGCTTGGGTAAAAGCGAAATATTCAGATAAAAAACATCGTCGGGCACCTGACTACAAACGGGAATTGAACGAAGCTCATAAACCGGTTGAAAAGTGCCAGCGAAAAGTGGACAATAAAATGAAGGACTGGAATCGACGAATCAAAGACTTAAATCGACTAAAAACAAAAATGAATTGTGCCCCCGAACGATATCATTCATCCTTGACCGAAAAGTCCATCCTCACGAAATATCCGAACAACTTTGTGAAATTATTGAAAAGTAATTAGTTGATCTAGATCAAAATTTAATACGAGAAGAGAGAAAATATCGCCTTGAAGCGGCTAAGGTTCTTTCAACATGTCAGGATATTCAGGTGAGACAACTGAGTGAAATTAACGAGATATTGAACAGGTTTATTCAAGCAGTTAAAGAGATAAATATTGGAAAATCGATTAATATCAGCAGTCAGCAAGAGGTTGCTGGTCGACGACAAACGAAACTTGTCCAAGAGCATACTGCTAGACAAACATTGTATGTAGCAAATCAGTCCATCCGTCGACAACGTACTATAGTGCAGGAAGAAACAGGTGTTCAGTTTTAGTTTTTTTCTTTTTGAACTAAAGTCAAAAAAATAAAAGTATATAACAAAATTCTTCGGACTACCGTTAGTGAATCAGTCCAAAACAAAGAGATTAACTGGACTTTCATTCAGAAATGGTGAAAAAAAGTGTCTCATCTTATACAGAGGTCAAAACTAAACATGTAAATTTGCGTCACACAGTTCCAGTTCTAGAGTTAGTAAAAAGTTCGGAACAGAATTTCACTTGAATGGTGCCATATGTGCATCTTAATAATTATATTATTTCATAATCAGGCTAACTCTCTTATTAGTATTGGCTATTATAATCCTGTTTTGAAAGTGTTGTACTATTTTTCTTGCCTTAGATTATCCGGCTTGCGTTTTTTAATTAGTTTTTATCTGAGTTTGAACCTCTCAGGAAACTGTTTTTGAATTTGCAAAAACGATCGGCATTTTTTCGAGGTTCGGGTTTCGGGGGTCCGGAAAAATCCAATTTTGGCTTTAGAGGTTCGACACTTACTTTTCTAGAATCAGCCTTCGATTCTGAATCCAATGAGTCCACTCTTGGATCACAAAAATGAAACGCGAAAAAGCTACAGCCATTTTTCAAAAGCCCTCTTTTTTCGCGGTTTTGGATACCTTCAGAGTATTTTGAGGCTAGCTCAGCGAGAAAAGGGTTTTGGGAGCCGGGAAAGTGTTTGCCGTGATCAACGTTCAATTCTCTATCGAATGGTATGTAAAAAGTTCGGAACAGAATTTCACTTGAATTGTGCCATATGTGCATCTTACTACACCAAATCCTATGAATAACATTGATTCAAATGAACATTTAAGTCAAACAAAGCAACTTTATATACTCCTACACATACGAAGTATAATATCAAAGAAAAATGATTTATAGTAGAGTGCCCCTAAGGAATTTTTTATCGAAAACAAATTTTTTTTGAATTTGAGCTTTTTTACTTTTACTGATATCTGACGCATAATAAGATCATATTATACGAAAATAATCATTTTTTAACTCAGAAAAACGAGATATCCGCCTGCTCTATGGCTCTAAAACTAGGTCTTGGAGCACTTATAGCAGACAGTAATCACCATAACCACCAGACGTATGTCACCATTTATGGCCGTTTACGGCGGTCATAGCGGCTATCGGAAACACGGACCTGGGATGTCTGTCAGCATAGTAAGGATCTTAAGCTCTATTTATGTTTCATACACACGCTAACATTAGAAGAGTTTCACAAAAAAAACTTTATAGTCTAGGTGACTTTCTTGACCGCAAAATCGAGCGTTAGCGAGTTTTATGTTCTTTTTGTTCAATCGGTACAAAACTGAATAGATAAAAATTCGATCTAGAAATAGAGAGCCTTTGTTTCCGACTCTCTTAAAAGCCATTTTCTACAATTTTTTGTTCGCACAAACAGAATGCGGCATCGATGTCTCGTTGCTCATTTTCAGCATATGAGATTATATTAGGAGTATATGCAATGCTTTGCATTTTTTTTTGAGGCGAAAGAGTCTAGGAAAAAGTGTTCTACATAAAAGTCTTGCATCTGTTCCTCTTTCAAAAATCTTAGGTTATTATATGAGTCAAAAATAAGAAAAAACTTCGTTAAGGAATTTTGTACAGAATATAGTTGAATCAAGTCTATGTCTTCGACGATGATATCGATCTCGGTAAACTGAAATTTCAGATTTTGAAATGTTTGGCTTTGATCACGTACAGAGTAGTTTCAAGTGAAATGAATGGAAACGTAATGAGCACGCGATTTAAGTTCTTTACACTAAGCCATGCGCTTTCTTTGGAAACCATGTGCGATCTGGGTATTTCCTATCTTGGAGAGAATGCATCTTATACCATTATTCAGTCTGAAGTCATGTAGGACTAAATAATACGCGTTTTCTTTTAAGTATTTTTAAACGATTTGCTTTACAGAACTGAGAAAATATTAAGTTCGTAAAAAATATGTCAGCATGTTTGACTACAAAAACATCAAGAAGAAAAATTTTCCTTACGCCTGTCAGTTAACCGGCCCATTATCTACTTGCACTCCTTCTTCTCCGTTTAAGCATTGCTGTGGGTACGAATCTCGATGAGTATTTCAAAATGGTTATATTTGAATATGTGCTTTGGCTTCTTAATTTAGGTCTCTATTCTAGTCAAAAGATGAGCAGAACCTATAAAATGTCTTCAATTGAATTTAATCATGAACGACAATCTGAACAAGGTATTATTTTCTATGCAGAATATGGTATTAAACCCGATGTACAACAAGATTATTCAGAAATTGAAAATATACAAAATTTCAGTCAATTTCAAATCAATACGTTAAATATGGTAATGATGGCGTTCATATTGTTGTAAGAAATAAGAAAACGAATAAGTTGCAAATATAATAGGGGTCAGTTCAATAGTTTTTTCTCTGAATTATTTGTGCGTTTCGTCATATGTTCTTCCACCATTCAGATTCGGCAGTTGCAGAATTGCATAGAAGGAGAATTTTCCTACTTTCGGTATCGGCAATCTAGAAAAGAAAGAATTGAATAGTTTCGAGATTTTCAAAATTGACAAAATTCCATCGGCAAAAATCTCGACAGTTTCAATCTAAAGAGCCGTAATGTATACCAAAACGTTAGCTGCTTGGTAGCATGTTTGCCACTCTCAAAACCACAAAGTTCGATTCGTTATGAAACCACTTTTGTAACAAAAATGGTGAAATATATCCTAAGAAATGCCCTCTAGATACAAGAATTTCCCACCTCTGCAATCGAAGTACTTTAACAACTACAGTGCCTTCGCATTAAACCGTACGAGCGAACTAACTCGCGTCTCTATTTCCATCCATCATATACTCGTGCAATTTTTCTGTTTACTTAGATTAAAGAATTAACATTATCAACATTGCAATCAAAAAGCATCAAACTGAAATCATTTAGCGTTTTTTTTTGTACCATTTATGGCATTAGTTGTAATTGCTGGAGTGACAAGTTTAGTTGATTATATAGGGAAAAAACAGTCGAGCAATAGAAGAAAATCATTAAGTTCACGACATCCGAACCCCTCAGAGATCACAGTCCATCTATTAGTTTATCTAGCAGCAGATCTTCGACTTATTCATCGACTAGTTCAGATAGTGAGTCAGATGGAAATGTAAGTACTGCTGCATGAGTTAAGTTTTCAATGTTTTTGTTCTTCTGTCTGCTAATCAATGGTTTCTTATCTTATGTTCTATGTAATCACACAATCGTCATTGTCGTTCAGATTATCGCAGAATGTATAATATTCGTCCAAAAGGTCAAGGTTTCGAAATATTAAAACCAGATCTCTACAGTACATCTGTTAAAAAAACCATTATCTGCAACAATATCTCAAGCAGCAGCTCCGATAAATATACTAAATACTGAACGACGACAAATAGTCAGTGCTAAATCTTTGCAAACCTTTTTTTTCAGGCGTAGCGAGGAAGATCCTATGCTCTCTAATTACTCTTTAAAGCAGAAACATGGACACAGATTTCTTAGTGAGCCTGAAGCACGCGAATGAATTTTTTGTTTTCTCCGCTCCTTCTACAACTAATCACTGCTATCATTCTCAATTTTCCTCTGTTTTTAGCATTATTATCTGGTAATAATTCCTATCGATCATTAACTCCATTGAATAGTTGCAGACAAGATGCAATTAATATGAATAGTGTATTATTAAAATTAAATTTCTCACATGTTGTATTGTCAATTGATTCAATATATCAAAGAATGCAACGGATTACTGAACATTTTAATGAATTAGTTGAAAATAATGATTTAGTATTCATCTATTACAATGGACATAGTGCTGGACATCAAGTAAGTTTCTGGTTTTAATTGTAAGAAAAGTGACTGTTCCTGTTGAGTAGAGAAGAAGTAAGATGCCCTTACTGATAGTCTTTTCAATAAACAGCTTCAATCTTTGCATAGAAATAGTTTATTTTAAACTATCACCCACTGTGTTATTCATATAAACAGATAAAATCGTACGAGGGACGATACAGCTTCCTATTCTAAACAAGGAAATGAGAAAGAACTGATCTGTCTTGTACATTCTATCTGAAAGATAGAAAAAATAGAAAAGGACCATTGTTCACTCGTCCATATTTTTCATCTTGTACAGATATGTATATAAAGGACTGTTAACCAATATATACGTGACGGATGGCAGTATGGACATATGACATTGGTTTTTCTCCAAGATGAACGTGGAAGTTCATCTTGCTTTTTATGGGGCAGGTGTTATGGCACATATTAAAGACGTGCCATAAGAGTCTGTCTACCATACAAGATAGAGCAAGAAAAGATTGAAGAAAAATATAAAAATCATCTCAACTCGATGAGTCAGGCTTGGCTAATCCTTCAGCAACAGACAAAAACTCAGTCAGAGTTATTGACCATAATGAATGCTGCCATTGTACAACCAATCTTTCCTACATCTCAGAAAATGATTTCTTTTCTATTAGTAACAAGTAAATTGAAAAGTGTAATGAAAACTGAAGAATTTGATGAAATTATTTCCAATGTTACTACCCAAATATCTTATCTGAATGACGCTCAAACAATCTATGTTAACCACCAGTCATCTCTCGTACAACTAACGAACAAACAAAATGAAACATTAAGTCTAGCATTGAATTCTCTATTACAAGATGTTAACAACGGATAGTGAATTGAGGTATTCTTCGCCAGTAATCAATCTAAATGAATTATGTAAGTTTGATGGAACGAACTGTGAGAGAGAGTTACTTTTCGAAATAGTGTGTGAGTGGAATACGCGTAGTTCTCTTTCCTTGTTAAGTGAGAATTGGAAAAAAATGAGATCTGCAAACCCTTCTGAAAATTCAAGGGTACTTTTATGGAATTGTGAAGGACTATATAATTACCACTCACCTATCAGATTTAGAATTTCTTATTTCTTCTAACAGATCGCATCTATGTGTACTAACAGGAGTGGGCAGACTAACTAAAAAGTTACCAAAGATTCCTCTTTATAATTGGCACAGTCAGGAGGGAAATAATAGTTTTGGAGGAGTTGCAATTCTTTATCATCATAAATTAAAATGTCACGTTTCGGACAGGGCAGAAAACTTTCTTTTAGTCGAAGTCGAGATTCTCAAAAAAAGGGTGAGTGTGGCAGCCGTCTACGTACCACCAAGTTATACACCACCGCTAAGTGTGTTTGATAAACATAAAGAAAAAGAATTATTTTTATTTGGTGATTTCAATGCATAGAACAAGGACTGGAACTGTGAACAGAACAATAAGAGTGGGAATATAATAAAAAATTGGATAGAAAAACAGGGTTTTCAACTTTTATCAACTACAAAACCTGCTTCCAACTCCATCATCGATTTTGTTTTAGCATAAAGCTTTGAAAACTGGCAAGTGGAGCGTTTAGAAGATGGTAATTCTGATCACTATCCAGTTCTATTCTTTGCACCATTTGAAGCAGGAGAAGACGGTGTTTTTCGGAAAACAAGTTGGAAAATCTTTCATTTCTTTCTAAAAATCGTTTACAAATACGGGAATACACTAGTTTATAATCTAGATTTTAATCCTTTTTTTGACATATTCTCGTTATTTCTCGCATCACTATACGATCGATGTAGCGAATTTAAAGAAATTAAATCGTTCAGAGATCCGTGGCCGCCGTGCTTAGTGGAAATAGCAAAAGATGTAAATAAAAGTAAACGTAAATTTAGAAAAACGAGATATCTAGGCGATTATTATAAGTTTAAAGATTTACGAGAGACTTATCAATGCGAAAAGTTAAATTTTGAACAAAAAAGGCGCGAAATAAAATTACAAAATATGAAAGAAGGGAACAACATCTGGTCCCATGTCAGAAACACTTTTTCTCCTTATTTTCCATCATTTAAAGGTCTTAAAGTGGAAGGTGGTGTTTTAAAAGATGACCAAAAAATAGTTGACAGGCTCGCAAACTTTTATGAGAAGCATTTTTCGGAACCTGAATACGATCGGAAAAATAAATTTCATCATGAATGTATGAGAGAATACAAAAAAACTGTTGAAATCGCCGAGAGAACCCTTAGATAAAGTAAAATTCGAAGAAGTGCTTAGTGCTTTTAAAAAGTTTGCGCCAAAAAGATCGTTAGACAGCACCAATACATCAGCGTTTTTATTGAAAAACCTTCCATTAGAATATTTAAACACGATCACAATCCTGTTTAATAAATACGCAGAAAATGGAGATTTTTTTGAAAAGGGTAAAATTGCAAAAGGAATATGTTTATCAAAAGAAGGCGCATTTCCTTTTGAAGATCGGTTAAGGTCTATTTCTCTTCTTCTAAACTTAGCTAAATGGTTTGAACGTATAATGGCTGCTAGAATTGAGGCGTGGTGTGTCGAACACGGTATACAAACTGAAGAGCAGTCAGGATTTATGTCTCATCGAAGATTACAAACCCGCATTATCTCTCTCGTAGAAGAACTGAGATTAACAGTAGCCGCTTGCAATGGACCTGCATTATGTTTGTTTATTGATTTTGAAACAGCATTCGATAAGCTATGGTATCCTGCTCTATTTATGACACTGAAAGATCTGGAAATGCCGCTGTCTTTAAGGCGATGGATATGTGACTGGTTGCAAAACAGGTCAATGTATATTAGTTATGGAGGTGCAGTTTCTAGGGTTTTCAATGTTTTAGTAGGAGCTCCACAAGGTTCCGTTCTTGCTGCGCTACTGTTTCGTTTACATATTCACTTTTTACCATCATATTTTATGAAGGCAATATCTCATCTATTCGCCGATGATCTTACAATGATCATACAAGGTGCGCTTGAGAAAAAACTAACAAAAAATATAAAATATCTGGAAGAACAAGCAAATTCTATTTTGAAATCTTTAGAAAAATTCGCAGACAATTGTTTTCTACCAGTAAACGTCAAAAAGACGAAAGCTATGTTAGTAAATAATGCAGTGGCAGTCCGAAACTATATTCCGTTTAAATATAAAAACGAAAGTATAAAATTCGTAAACAGTTTTAAATGTTTAGGGGTAATTGTAAATGTAAAATTAGTGTGGGGAAATCATATTGAGAATAGACTTAAAATGGCGAGAAATGTGTTTCATGGCATAAGAAAACTTTTTGCAGATATTCCTAAAAAAGAAGTCAAACTACGAAGAAAAATCTTCTGTGCGTATGCCCTACCACACTTCGTGTGGCTGATGTTTAACTGGTTTTTTTATACTGAAATGCAACGAGTACAAATCGAACATACCTATAATACAGGACCCACCCCTCTACAGTTGCCGGAAAAAAGTTTTTTGACTTTTGTGAGATACTTAATTTCAAGCAATTAGTACGAGAGCCAACAAGAATAAGTAGTGACGGCCAAACAAAAACAGCGCTCGACCTTGTATTCACCAGCTCTAACACTATAATTAATAAAATAATAGTGGATGATCGTTTGTGTACGAATTGTGATCATAAAATTGTTAAAGTTTTAATTGCTTCAAATATCGACCGTTCTCCACCAATAACACGAAAAATTTATAATTATAATGCTACAGACTAAAATTACTTTCGTTATGCCTTAGTACAAATTCTTAACATAGTTGCTATTCTTTTTTATAATTCTACTTGTATAAACGAAAAAGTACTGATATTGGAATCTAGCATATTAAAGGCAGTTGATAAGTGTGTTCCATCAAAAATTATTCGACTTTACTCGAATGATCAGCCGTGGTTTACACAACATTTACGCTTTTTGCATAGAAAGAAAAAACGTCTATACCGAAAATGTAAAGACAATTCTTCTCTCTCTTCTATCGAGAGATATAGGAAAGCAAATAATGAATTCGAAAAAGCATGTACTGAGGAAAAACAAAAGTATTTAGAACGTATAAGAAAAACAAATGCGTCCAAAAAATCATGGTGGAAATTAGTTAAGTCTCTTTTAAAACGAACACCATCAGTTAACATATCGGTTTTAAAAGATAACAACGGTACTAATTGTTCGAATGATATAACAAAAGCTAACATTTTAAATACGCACTTCGCTAACATCTGTACGATGGATAAAGCTGATTGTTTTAGGAATATTCCATCCGATACACTTATCTCAACGGCTCCTCCTCTGCAACTATTTACATTCTCTATTCAAGAGGTTGAAAAATGCTTAAGTAAGGTAAACCCGAACAAAGCCACTAGTCAAGATATAACGTCAAAAACTCTTAGAATCTCATTTTAGAATCTGTACCTGTTATAGTAAACGATTTCACTCATATCTGCAATTTTTCTCTGTTGAACGGTGTATTTCCAGATAAATGGAAAATAGGTGTTATTCATCCTCTTTTCAAAGACGGCGACAGTACACTTGCCACTAACTACAGGCCGATAAACTTACTACCGGCAATGTCTAAAATTTTAGAACGTCTAGTTTTCAATAAATTGTATGACTATGTGAAAAAACATAAATTGTTAACACCGCTCCAGTCAGGCTTCATACAAGGCGACTCGACAGTGAATCAATTAGTCGACCTTGTACATGAGATTAGTGAAAACGTAGATAAGGACAATTTTACTCTTGCTGTATTTCTTGATTACTCGAAAGCGTTTGATAAGGTCTGGCACGCCGCTTTACTTTACAAATTAAAGAAAAAGGGAGTGTCAGATGAATTACTGGAGTGGTTCTCGAGCTACTTAAGTAATCGACAATGTGTCACAGTTGTCAACGGTCAAATATCCGTTCCACTGCCGATAAATAGAGGAGTACCCCAGGGGTCCATTCTTGTACCGCTGCTATTCCTTCTGTTTATTGATGACATTTCTTTACAAACACAATCTAAAATACGGTTATTTGCCGATGATACGTCTCTATACCACAGTGGTAATGATATTTTAAGTGCAAGAAAGCATAAACAAATGGTCAAAATTTTGGCAATTACCTCTAAACGCAAAAAAATGTATAGGGATGTTATTTGGTCGAGTAGCAATTGTCTCTTCTCTTTTCCTTGATAGCTCTCTTCTTAGTTTTGTTGATCATCACAAACATCTCGGTGTTTTTCTCACGAGTTCGTTAGACTGGTCAATTCACGTTCGTTCTGTATTAAAAAAATGCAATTACACTCTTTACCTTATGCGTAGACATAAACATATTTTGAGTACATCCACTCTCGATCAGATATTTAAATCATACATTCTGCCAGTGTTTACTCTGTTTACTCTCTTCTCAAACAAATTCATTCTAAAACAGCCTTCATTGATACAATTCCGTCCTATCTAAAACCTATTTACGACTTGCAATATTTAGCATCTCTGACTGTTAGTGGAGCAATGCATTTATCATCAAGAATAAAAGTGCTTAAAATTTTAGGTTGGATTCCGTTAGAACACATCTATGCAATTAACAAAATAATTCTTTTCTTCAAAATAAAAAACGGTCTCACACCCACTCTTCTTTCTACACGTATTCCTAAACAACCAATTGTTACTACATCTTTACGCTCAAGAGAGAGAGGTCAAGTAAACGTATTTCGTACTCGCACAGAAAAATTCAAAAACACTTTTTTTCCTTGGGTTGTGAGACAATGGAATATATTGCCTGTCGAACTGCAAAACATAATAAAATTAAAAAAATTTCGAACAAAAATTTATGATTTCTTTTTTCCAAACTACAAGTGGCCACGTTTTAAACTCAGTGAGCGTAAATATGATTGCATTCTAAATCAAAAATGAGAGTCAACTTCTCTCGACTAAATTATGATCTTTTTCAAAAACATTTGAGTACTAGTCGCTTTTGCGCTTGTGGAAAAATAGAGTCAGTCAAACATTTTCTGCTGGAATGTCCACGTTATCAGCATCAACGACAAACACTTATTTCTGACTGGTCATCTCTAGCTCCTACTATCTCCTTTACGCCTGCAAATATACTATTTTTAGAAAAATCTGATAATTTAGATAATTCACAAATCTGTCAGCTACATTTCTTTATTACTAACTATATAAAAAATACTGAACGTTTTTGAACCCCAAACAATCTCTTAATCTGTCTCCATTATGCCATATTTTCCCTTCTCCTCTTCAGTTCTCGTTCTTTTTCCTGATTTTGCTTTTATTTGTCATACTTTTACCTTCTTATTTTCTTCTTTCTAGTCGTTTACTTTCTTATTGTATGTATATCGCATGCGTGTATTCTGTGTACATGTTTTTTAAACCGTGCTAGAAAATGAATGTGTCTGTGTCAATCTTTCTCTTTCTTTAGCTATATATCAATGTACATTTGCAACTTTTTATTATAGAACAGTCAAAATGACCTCATGGGTTTCTTTCCTCTTCCTTTTTGTTCTGTTCGTATGTCTATCCAGTTGTTGTTGTTTTCTTTTTTTCTTTTTCTTCTTCTCTTCATTACATAATATAATAAAGCTTATACCAACTTATATCAAAGACACACAACGATTCTAACTCCTATTTCCCTCCTCGTATGTCTATTTCTTCATTCTTTATTTTGTCCGTACTTGTCTTTCTTATGTTGTCCTTGTCACTTGTTTTTATATGTATTTCTTGTCCTGTCCTTTGTCCGCAGTCAATGATGTAAAGATACAATGGGTTCGCCTCCTTCTCCTCATTATTGTACTGATCTTTTCTAACTTTTTCTTTTCAATAAAGCTTATAAGGACTTCGAATTGTTTACAGTTTATACGGGTACGAAGACATCACCACACTTGCTCTGTGTCGAGAATTTTCGTTAAGAGACTATGTATTTCTATTGTGTATACTGGACAAAATTCATTAAACACCTAGAAACTTCAATCGAAGCAGTCGCGTACCAACAAACGTTTAGCTCCTATTTGACTGTGAAAGAAACGTCGGAAGTGTCTTACAAATCGCTAGGTCACCGGAAAAATAGTAAATTCTTGAATAGACTTGTTCAGCGACCACAGCACTCAAAAAGTGATATTTGTCACTTTCTTGGTACACATAGCAAGCAGTACGGTATTTATAAAATGTCTACTTCGATACTGGAGGAATTTGTACTCAAAATTTTCCCTATATTTCTACCATGAGAAATGTAAAAAGTGTGTGAGAATGGGAATGAGAAGAGTTAAGAAGCATAAAATATGAGAATTTGAACTTACAAGTCTATGTTCTCTCTTTGACGTTTTCTCCTCTTTTCTAAATATTACGAAAAGAAAAAGTAAAATAAATAGATGTATTTTTTGTGCTAAATCGTTTTGTTATAATTGAGATCCAGTGTAATAAATTGTTGTGTTAAATCTGATAACTTAATGTATTTTTTTTTTCCTACTCCTCTTTTTGCACTGAAGTCAATGTAAAATCTTTTTCATTTGTTAACCCTTTTTGGGAACAATAAATATATATATGTTAAAAAAAAATTATTCAGATTGGTTCCAGCTTTCACTAAAAAGTCAAAAATAAGGGAGTTCTCCTGATTATGACACACTGTACTGCTTAGATAACACCCAAAAGCTTCTTTTCCGTATTTTTAATGACTGGCCACACCTGTCTGGACATTGTGACCAGCTGACTTTGTTGAGAATTTCAAGGGCTATCCAATGGTATGTTTTCGAACAATACATAATTTTTCGTTATAGCAGAAAAACGGCTAATGGAGTGTTCAAAGCACTAAGATAGGTGAAAACCATTATTTCGGCCAAGTATTTCAACTGTTGACCAATGGGGGCATATTTTGAAAGACTTATTGATAGCTCATTTTGAAGCTCGTGAAATTCTCTATCGAACGACATATAAAGTGGAGTAATTCACAAGAAAATCAATGGATATTATAAACATGAACCACGTTGTCCCACAGGTTTGCTGAGATGCCACCGAGTATTTCGGAGCCTAGACTACCCAGTTATATTTTCTTAAGATCATCTTATACATCGCTTTGAAGCCCGTGAAATTCTCTATCGAATGATATATAAAGTGGAGTGGTTAACGGGAAGATTAGTCACTATTATAGAGATGAACGACGTTAACCTGCCGGTTTCCTGGGATTCTACCGAGTATTTCGGGTGTTAGACTACCCAGTTACATTTTTTCAAGACTATCTTATACATCATTTTGTAGCCCGTGAAATTCTCTCTCGAATGCTGTGTAAAGTAGAGTGGTTAACGAGAAATTTAGTCACCGTTATAAATGTGAGCGACGTTCACCTACCGGTTTCCTGGGAAACTATCGAGTATTTCGGAACTTAGACTACCCAGTTGCATTTTCTTAAGGTTATCTTATATATCATTTTGAAGCCAGTGAAATTCTCTATCGAATAACATATGAAGAGGAGTGGTTAATGAGAAAATAAGTCATTATTATAAACATGAACCACGTTGACCCATCGGTTTGCTGAGATGCTACGGAGTATTTCAGATCTTAGACTACCCAGTTACTTTATCTTAAGGCTATTTCATGGATCATTTTGTAGCTCGTGAAATGCTCTATCGAACGGTGTATAACAGTTGATATTTGCTCGGGGTGAAATAGGTTGAATAATGTAAATACTTCGAGAAAACGTCGCGTAACGCAAGAAGAGTTTTTTTTGCTAAAAGGTTTCCA